GCTTCTGTGCGCAGAACAGAGTTGTTGGGAAGCACAAAAAACATTGTCGGGTATAGACATTGAAGAGGGACTAGGAATAGTAATAGTAATAATACTAGCCTTGATGAGGAGAACGGAAACGGCAACGGCAGAAAGTAATGGCGGGGGTGCTGGAGTCTGTGGTCGAGTTGATTGCATTGTCCAGTCTTGTCTTCAAATAAGTATGATCTATTCAGTACTGAGCTCGCGTGGTTCAAGAACTATGGAAGGGATCCAACACCGGGAGTTACCAAGCTGAGAGACGTGCTTGTTTGTTTTGGGAACGAGGTATGGGGAAGGGGTATTATCTGGTAAGTCATCGACGGAGTGTGAGGTTGAAGCTACATTATTATCAGAAGACACTGATTGTTTGTGTCTTTTACCTTTCTAGTATTTGGCTTGGTCCCCAATTGTACTGCAGATCTGGGATATGTTGAAGAGGAGGGTCATCGCAGCTGTATTTGTAGGGAAATAAGTAGGGGGTGAGATCAAGTCAACAAACGACCCTGTGCTGTATTTGTCCAGAGCAAAGTGGTTGTACCTCTTCATTATCTGCTGTTAACAGAGATCATCACAAGAGGGCTAGCTAGGCATGACACTATGGGTGTCAAAGATCCATCATGACATTGTATCTCTTGTGCAACAAAGTGTGATATCTACCATGTGAGTTGTTGATCTATGTGAAATAATAAATTTCTACCAAGAACCAGACAGCAATAAAGCAAAGATATTTCAAAATACCAAACCCATTTTTCGCCGCCAAGTCCACGTCGGGCGTGGACTACCTATTCTATCAAGATTGAGTGATTGATGCATTTCATTTCTCCATGTTCCTTCCTTACTATGTCCATTCGCACATTTTTGTACACCCGGGTTTATCATCAAACGACCAACATGCGACACGACACGCCAACGCCACGACAAGACAGACACATACACACTCATTCACCCCCCAGAGGTGCGTGAGTGTGTCACTTATAGCACATGAGAGTGGTGCTCAGTAGGCACCTTGGTGAAAACGTCGAACGAGCCGGTACCGGTAACACCCAGCTTACCGACAACCAGTCTGCCTGATGGGGTGTCGAGGCTGTCCCAATCGCCGTCGAGAACGGCGTCCTTGAGGAAGCCGACGGTAGTTTCTGTTGTGACATGTTAGCAATGAGCTCGGGCTACAGGAAAGGCAATGAACGGCTGATGGATGATAACGTACCGTAACTCATCTTGGTGAAGGGACTGACGTTGCCGGTCAAACCCATTCGGTTGAAAGGAGTGAAGCCACCGTTTCTGTAAAAATTACTAGTCAGTAACTTTGTTGCTTGTTTATGTCATTGAGAAATGAAATCTTACCTGGTCATGTAGTCGCCAATGAGGTTCAGATGGCGGGGGTCGACACCGATACCGTGACCCTTGAAGACACCGCTCAATTCGCGAACGATGCTGTTCCTGGCGGCCTCAACACCGTAGATCTCGAGCACTTGGGCAATGTCGTTGGTCATGATCTTGTTGGGGTTGATGTAGTCGGCATATTGCTGCATGGCCTTGATGTTGGAGCCTTCGGTGTGGACAAGACGCTCCTTGTTCTCCACAACGAATGTCGCGGTGCCGAGTCTGGGAATCTGCTGAATGAGCGCCTTCTTGACAGCCTCGGTGACGAGGTTGAGCATGAGAATCTTGGGTGTCGCGGGATCGAACTCGAGGATCATCTCGCACCACTCGCCGCCTTGCTCGTCGCAGTGGAAGCGGGCAACGAAGTCGTTCTTGTCCTTGATACGGGTCTCGCGTGATCGAGACTTGTACACGGACATATCGCCATCGGCGTTGCGGTCCTCGGGCTCAGGGCTACCGCCGTAGCCTTCGTCGTCGAACTCAAGTCTCTCCTCGCCCTCCTCCTCACCGTCATCCGCGCGCTGTAGAGACTTCTGGATGGCATCATCATCGTCGTCGTTGGGGCCATAGGACACTGCCTCGTGCCTATTGGCTCTGTTCTTGGCGTTGGTAGCGTCATCATCACCGTCGTCATCGTCGTCCGCGTCGCCATCCTCGCCGACAGCACGCTCGCCGTCGGGCGCCGCCATCTCCACAGTGCCAACCTTGACACCGATCTCGGGAGTGGCAGCAGAGTTCTCCTTGTACTTCTTCTTGATTTCCTTCTTGGTGAGCTGACCAAGCAGGGGCACGAACTTCCTCTCAACAGTCGCAAGAACATCCGCAATCTCGATCGCGTATGTCTTGCAATACTCCTCAGATGGGAAGAAGCGCAACCTGATCTCGAAGAGCTTGGCAAGAGGGTAGCCCAAGCCACGGCCCATCTTCTCCCTGACGGTAACCTCCTTGGTAACATCGGCCAGGGGAAGAATGCTAATGGACTTGGCAAACCGCTCGCAGTCTGTATCAGAGAGCTCAGCGTTGGGGTAGAGGGTCATTGCAGGAGTCGAGATCTTGGCAGAAGCTGTCATGAGAATTTCACGAAGACGGGGGATACCCAGTGTGACGTTCTTGGCAGAGTGACCAGCCAAATGGAAAGTGTTCAGTGTCATCTGTGTCGAGGGCTCACCGACAGACTGACCGGCCACGATACCAACAGCCTCACCAGGCTCCACCAATGACCTGATGTACTTGGCCGCCAAAATCTTCTCGGCATTCTTGCGAACAATGATGCCAGAGGAGTCGCCCTTCTTCTCCTTGATTAAGCCATCCTTGTTCTCCTTGACGTACTTGGTCATCTTCTCGAAGAAGTTCTCCGAAGTAGCGAAAGCATACAAGGCAGGGTCAACATCCGACTCGATCGGGTTGAGCGGGTTGCGGGTATCCCTCGACTTGATGGCAGCCTTCATCCGCTTGATCATCTCGTCCTTGTGCTCGAAGAGAGCCTGAGTACCCTCTTCCGAGTAGTGGAGATGCGCCAACTCGGATTTCAGGTTGCGGAGGACGAACTCGAAGTCGTTCAAGTATTTTTGCTTGGAGATATCGATACCATCCTCACCAAACAGGAACTGAATGATGGAGCCATCCGAGTCTCTGACCGAGGTGTCGTAAGCGACCTTGAGACCTTCCATACCCTTGATCAAACATCTCTGAAGGTAACCGGAACGCGATGTCTTGACGGCTGTGTCGATAAGACCCTCACGACCGGCCATGTGATGGAAGTAGTACTCCTGGGGGCGAATACCAGTCAAGAAACGCTGGACGATGTAACCACCAGCTCTGGCGTTGGTATCGAAGGGCTTGAAACTAGGGAGAGTCTTGCCGCTGACCATGACGGGGACACGTCTACCTTCCAAAACCTGCTGACCCAAGTTACAAGAGATGAGGTTGGCGTTGACAGGAGAACCCTTAGCACCTGATGTTGTCATACTTTGCATTTGGTTCTTGGGGAACTTCTTTTGCAGACCAGCAGGAAGACATGTCTTGGTGATCTCGCTAGAAAGTTGGGCGCAACGTTGGTTCATCAAGAGATCCAAGTTCTCTTGCTTCTTGTCGTTGCGCATAACTTCCTCCAAGCGTTGCAAGAGAAGGGGATCTTCGGGAGTAGGCTTCTGCTCCTCGAGCGACACATACTTGGCGGCGACCTCGAGACCGATGTGAGCGGCGGCCTTGATCTTCTCCCTTCTGTCTGCCTCTCCCTTGGGCGTCATGACTAGATCGTCCATACCGCACGAAAAGGCAACCATGGCCAGGTAACGAGTGAGGAGACGACCCATGCAACTGAGGAGCTTACCAGCAGCTGAAGGGCCGTAAACTTCGTGAATCGAGTGAATCAAACCACCACTGCTGGGACCCAGCTGAGACTTGTCGAGGATACCGGTGATGAACTCTCCATCACGGAAAGTGACCTGGCCTTCTTCTGGGGCATGGTCACCCCACTGATGAGCCTTGACTTGTGTAGAGCCGTTCATCCACAAATCACCGCAATTTGGGGGCTTAATGTTCTTGAGGATTGTGGTAATGACTTGCTTACCCGTCCAGCGGGGAATCGGCTTGATGATCGCCGGCGGCAAAAGCTCAATCTTGTCTCCCATAATGTGACCACTCTCGGGCCGGAGAGCGGCGTAGATGAGTTGATGGTAGTTGGCCCGATCGAAGAAGGTGTCCTTGTTACACAGAATAACGGAAACGGACAAATGATCCTGAATAAGACCGCGGAGAGGCTTGCCAGCGGTGCCGGAGATGTACTGGTGATCAGTGTCGGCGAGCTGAAGGGCCTCGGCACGGGCAATTTCGTTTTGGGGGAAATGCATGTTCATCTCATCACCATCGAAATCGGCGTTGTACGTATTGCAGTTGGCGTAGTGCATGCGAATCGTCTTCTCGCCCGGCAGCACTCTGACTCTGTGACCCATGATGGAGGGCTTATGAAGGGTGGGCTGACGGTTCATGAGGACGACATCACCGTTGGTAAGGTGGCGGTGGACCTTCTTGTTGCGAACTCCGCTGAAGTTGTTGTTGGTCGGGGCCAAGAGCTGGTTGGCAAGGGCCTGACGCTCCTCTGAAGACTTGTTCCTCAAGTTGATGATTTGGCCGTTCTCCATCTCAATGGCGGAAGCACCGGGCCACTTCTCCATACCGTTCTGCACTGCATTCTTGAGATCATGGTAGTTGTGACTCGTTACGGGCTCGGGGTATGTGAGCTTCCTGGCGAACACAGGAGGGACACCGATCTCGCTGGTCTCGATGTTGGGGTCGGGAGAGATGACGGATCTGGCGGCAAAGTTGACACGCTTACCCATCATGTTCTTGCGGAAGAGACCCTCCTTCTTCTCGAGCTTCTGCTTGATACCGTCCTCGTTGCGCTTTCCAGCAGCACCCTGGACGGGGTTCTTATCGCGATCGATCAAGGAGTTGACGGCGTCTTGAAGCTGTGTCCACGCCTGGTAGAGCGCATTGATATCCCTGGCCCTGCGTCCGTCCTCGGGGGCATTACCCTTTGCGGTTTCGGAAACCTCGCGAGAGATCTGGGCGACCATAGACGACCCCCTGAGGATCAGCTTGTAGAGACTGTTTTGCTGCGCTTCCGTTACTTGGTCGCCCATTCTAGCCTCGGGTCTGAATTTGTTGGGAGGGACGAGAAGTGTCTGGATGAAGAACATGTCGGCGGTCATCGGCTTCGCGTGCTTGGGGCGAGGCTTGGAGCTAAAGAGCAAAGAAACGATCTCTTGCTCCTTCTGGAAGAGGAAGTTTAACCTCTCCTTGACCTCGAGAGAGCTGATGTATCTCTGGGGAAGGGCCCTCTTCTCGGCCTTCTCCTTCGCCTTGGTCTTGCTGCCTGCGTCCGCCATGACAACATCGCCGTTTTCGTCGAGCTCTTCGCCCTCTCCTTCACTGTTGTCGGATTCGCTGGCTGTTGACTCGATATCGGCGATTCCCTCATCATCATCATGGTCCTTCTTCTTGCCGCCCTTCATGGCTAGTGCGTCGGCACGCTTCCTTCCAGCCTGGGCCATGGCGGCCTTCTCCTTTTGTGTGAGGTCGCGCTCGAAAATCTTGGTGTACCGATCCTTGCGGTAGACGGGAGAGATGCCGTCGCAGGTCCTGCACTTCTTGTCCTTGATGATGGCAGCCAGAAACTCCTTGACGAGAGCCCTGCGCATTTCGGCGGCGCCTTCGTGCTTGCCCTTGTTGATGTCGCGCATAGTCACCTTAGTCCTATGATCGCGAAGAACAGCGCGGACATATGCTTCCCGTTGGCGGATGGTGCTGTCGTTCAGGTTGTTTCCCTCCTCCTCAGCCTCGTCATCCTCCATCTCGGGCACGTCGGCCAGCTGGAATTGGCGGATGGCGGAGCCGAACTCGCTTTCGCCGAAAGAATCGATCATTTGGGCTTCCTTGAGAAGGCCACACTGCAGCAAACGGAGCATGCAGGAGTAGCGGTGGATTTCCCTCCGGGGGAGGCGGAACCGGTGGCAGTAAACACATTGCGCGCGCAGCAGACGGTATGCCTGGTCCATGAAGACGGGGTGATAGACGGGCACGGGGAGCTCGATGTGGCCGGGATGACCGGGACATTGCGACTGGCCAAGGTTACATGTTGTGCAGCTATTCAGCAGAGGGTCACATCAGTCAACACCACTATCCAAACCACCAGCCTTTCACGTTGAGAGAAGGCAGACGACGGGGCGGGGAGTCTCACAGTGAGTCGCCCCAGGAACCCAAGGCAGGGTCGTAGAGACCGCCAGGGACGGGGTTCAGCAGGCTGTCGAAGGTGCTCTCATTCTCGATCTTGCGCACCGAGACGGCGCGGATCTCGGTGTCGGTCAGGAAGGTGAACTCGACGCTGTCCAGAGAGGACGACACGGGCTGCGAAATATTCATGGTGGGCGAGAGTGGTGTATGGTTACGAAGTCGGAATCTTTACAATCCCATGGCGAGGGTTTTCCGTCTGAAGGAGGGCCGCAGGCAAGTGTGCACGGTCGTGGGGAGACAGCGGCAACTTGCGAGGCCAAAAACAACAAAAAAAAGAGTAGAAAAAAAAAGGCAAGATATCGAGTAAACTGAGCCTTCAGGGTGTTTACACAGCCAAAAGCCTTTCGCTATGCCACTGCAGTCAATCACAGTCTACAGCTTCGCCTATTGGTGGGAACTTTGAGATGGAGCTTCCGCGAAAGAATATTTTTTGGCGGTCGCGGCCGGCAAAATTCGCTGTTATGCCTGTGGGGAACTTGTACATAAGCCCAGCGGGCATCTCGATGGGCGTTGGCCCGGCTGGCTTCCTTGGCTGACGGGACTCCATTTCGCTAGGTAGTACCTAGATCCCGTCCACTGATTCAACACTCTTGCAGTGCAGTCAGCAGTGGCCTCCTTCACGTTCAATCAATTCGCTTTCAGGCATTCCACTGGGTTCCTTGTCGTCTGTCGCTATCGTCACTGCAAACTACCACGTCTTGTTTTGTTTCCTCGACCTCATTTTCCAAATCTACCTATACTTTCCATCACGACGGGACCTCGACGGATCTCAACCATCAGGGCCGGGACCTGACTAGGGCAGGAATCTGAGATCGATATTGCGAACCACATTCATCCACCTGAGAATTGGTACCCATTACACTACCTGAAGCGCGGCGCCATTCGCCATAGTAAACTCGATCTAGTGTAGCTTCCAACTCCCGACCTTCGCGCCTGGTCACCACATCCCGGCAACTTTATAAAGAACCTCGACCTCTTCCTCTATCACTCGACAAACCGACTCTTCCTACTAGACAGCCCGCATTTCACATCAACATGGATCGAGGACAGCCAAGCGGGCTTGGCCCCCGCCATGACGCGACTTCACGAGTTCAGAAACCCGAGTCCGCCGCCGATCGCATGGCCGCACTCAAGGCTCGTGTCGCTGCAGCAGTCGGAGGCTCCAAAGCAAAGGGCGGCTTGAACACACCACTGCACCCTGCCCTCGCAGACCTCGGCGCGCCCATCAAACCCGGGGACTCCCTCGCGGCCGCCGCAGCAGGTCGTCGAGCCGCCCAGAAAGTTGCAGAATCATTCAACAGAAAGGAGCACCGAACACCTTCGGCAACAACAACAGGCCAACCCCGAGCCAACCCTTACCTAGACACCAGCAGCCATGGACCACAAGGCAAGCCCAAAGAGCCACGACAGCTCATCTTCAACCAGAAGGGCAAGTACATTGCCCAGGCGAATGCGCTACGGAGACAGGCCGCCTTGGAGGAAATGAAGAGGAGGATTGCGGAGCAGGCCAGGAAAGCAGGGCTGGACGAGGACCGAGACATCGAGAAGGCCTTTGTCGTAGAGGCGCCCCCGGATGTGGAATGGTGGGATCAGGGCCTCATCGATGGCAATGACTACAGCAACATTCCCGACTCGATAAAAGTCAACACTCCCGACAGCGTTGTTACCATTTACATTCAGCACCCAGTCGCCATCGAGCCACCGCAGGACAAGCTCGCAGCTGAGCCGAAACCCATGTATCTTACACCCAAGGAGCAACAGAAACTGCGTCGCCAACGCCGCATGATGGAACTTAAGGAGAAGCAAGCCAAGATCCGTCTCGGTCTGGAACCGGCCCCGCCACCCAAGGTCAAGAAGTCGAACCTGATGCGCGTACTGGGCGAGGAAGCTGTCAAGGACCCGACGGCCGTCGAGGCGCGCGTCAACCGTGAGATCCAGGAGCGCTTCGACAAGCACATGCAGTCCAACGAGGAGCGCAAGCTCACAAAGGAGCAACGGCACGAAAAGCTCGCTCAAAACCAGCAAAAGGACGTACATAAGGGCGTCCATACGCTCGTCTTCAAGATTGGTAGTCTAGCCAATGGCAAGCACCGCTTCAAGATTGGACAAAATGCCCAACAGCACGCGCTCATGGGTGCGTGTATCATGCACCCCAAGTTTTGCCTCGTGATTGTAGAGGGCGGCGAGCACAGCGTCAACGCGTACAAGAGGCTAATGATGCGTCGCATCGACTGGACCGAGAGCGTGCCCTCGCTTGATAGGGAACCTAGCGCGTCCGGTGCGGCGGTGAGGGAGTGGCTGAAAGCGGAGGATGAGCAAGGCATGTTGAAGGACTTGTCGAATAACAAATGCCAACTCATATTTGAGGGCGAGTCCAAGACGCAGTCATTCAAGAAGTGGAGCAGCAAAGTATGTGAGACGGACCAGGAGGCCAGAGAGTTTCTGTCTCAGATGAAGATGGAGAACTTTTGGACGCAGGCGAAGAACACGCCGAGTCATGTATAACTGCGATGTTGAAAAAGGATACAGTCTGCTTTTTTGCCAGTCGGATGATGATCCGATTTTGTTGGACGAAAAGAGATAGGGCATCATACTTAGCTCCGCTAGACTATGAATAAAACAAATAACACGAGTAACTTGAGAGTCATGAACACGGGTCACCTTGAAGTTATTGACATTCGTGCAGAGATGGAAGACCGGCATCGTGGATGAGATCTGCGCACCCCATGGGGATCTTAGTTTCCTGGTTTGTTGTTTCCCCACACAAGGCGAGCTATTGAGTGAGGGGTTGCAATCGGGATTAACTCTCACCACCTCGGCTCTTGTCTGTCATTGTTTTCCAAAACCCGGGCTAGACTCGTCACGGGGTATTCCTTTGGTGTCACCATATAAATACCTCCAGGGAAGCTGTTTGCCATCAAACTGTTTGGGTGCTAGTTGTTTTCATCTCAGACCAAACTATCTAGTATTCCTCCTTTTCGGTCCAGCACTAAGAAGCTGACAGACACAATGGTTCCCAAGCCCAAGATCACGCTCTACCTCGATACTGTTAGCCCGTTCGCATACGAGGCGTATCACATTCTGCGGGTATGTACAACTAACCTGCAAGTTCATCGGTTCAAGTAGAATCAAGCAAGCAAGGAATCGCTCATGTCCTATCTCCACCTTTCAGAACGACCCAATCTTCAAAAATGTCGACATCAAATACGTGCCCATCTTCCTCGGTGGCTTGATGAACAAGGTCCGTCTGTCTCATCCATCCCGCTCCCTCCCATTCATCACATCCTCACACATAACACTAACGTATGTCACACACCAACCTCACCCGTCGCAGTGTTCCAACACCCCACCCATCAAGATCAAAAACAAAGACAAATGGATCAACGTCGAACGCCTCCGCTGGGCCCATGCCTTCTCCGTTCCCATCGTTACCGACATGCCGCCCAACTTCCCACCCAACACGCTCCCCGTCCAGCGGGTCCTAGCCGGCATCGAAGCTTCATCTCAATCCCAATCCGCAGTCATCGCCGCCCTCGACGCCCTCTACAAGTCCTACTGGGCCCTCGGTCAGCCCATCTACGAACCCGCCCAATTGCGCTCCGTCCTTGCCTCTTCCCTCGGTGGGGAAGAAGCGGCGGATAAGGTGTTGGGAGCAGCGCAGACTGCCGAAGTCAAGCAAAGATTGGTGGAGAACACGGATAAGGCGTTTGCGGAGGGGGCGTTTGGGTTACCTTGGTTTACGTGCACTAATACGAAAGGGGAGACGGAGGGGTTTTGGGGAGTTGATCATTTGGGACAGGTGGTGCAGTTTTTGGGGCTGGATAAGGGGGTGAGTGGGAATGGAGGGTGGAAGTCGGTTTTGTGAGGGGGTGAAGGAGGGAGGTGGTTGAGAGAAGCTGGGAGAAGAGGGAGGCGTGGGATCACAAGACAGGCAGGCATGATGGGGCAGGCTGTGCAGTTGTGAAGCTGTAATAAGCGGTAGTGGTAGTTGATGTGAAGGTATTCCCAAAGACAAGATCATACATTTATGCGTCATCGACCATTTCGACCGAGTGCATCATGAACATGACCTAGTGTTGCTGAAGCCATCATAACTCACAGCAGGCTGTCAGGTCTGTCATGGATCAAGACTTGGATGAACCATTATCTCCACAGAACCCATCGGGTGGAGCATTTCCACGCGCGGCTCGGTGGACCGACGAAGGGCGAACCCTGTCACAACCAAGTGCGAACGGACGCGTCTCAATATGCGGGTCACAGTGATGTTTATGTCAAAGTCACGTCGCGTGAACATGAACGCAACCTGAACGCGTTTGTCATTTCTACGACTACTGGCATTCATAGCGATGTTTATGGTAGTCCTAATCGCTAGGTAGCTAAACTCCCATGATTTGCGCTTGCTCCAAAACTCCATTCTCATCTATCATCAAAGCAGGCAGGCATACGGTGGTGAGAATGGTTGTCAGGAAGAAAAAAAGGTAAACGTGCAATGTCTGTCGACAGGGTATCGTGTGATCATGAACCAGGCCCTTTATTAGACCAAATCCGCCATCAGCGCTGCCGTGCAAAGCCATCCGTCCTTTTGTTCCGGTGCTCGCCAGCCGCTGTGCCCGCGTTGTAATGTACAAGCCATCAAGTACTAAGATGAAGAGAGAGAAAATGTAGTATCATCGCAATCAAGAACGCCGGATTACCCCCCATGTGTTGTGCCGTGAATGAAAATCCATCAACTCAGACGCGCATTCCCAAATGTAGTGCGAAGTGTGACGCGAGAAAAGTTGTCATGACCGCCCCGTGATATAACCCCAGAATCTGACTAGACTACCCCGAAAACCCAAAGCAAACTACTCCATGTCGAAGAGTCGCTTAGTTGCGCTCACCGCGAAGGCGGCGGGCGAGCTGGATGTCCTTGCTCTGGATGGTGACACGCTTAGCGTGGATAGCGCAGAGGTTGGTGTCCTCGAAGAGGGAGACGAGGTAAGATTCGACGGACTCCTGGAGAGCGCCGATAGCAGAGCTCTGGAAGCGGAGGTCGGACTTGAAGTCCTGGGCAATCTCACGGACCTGTGTAGCGACGCGTTAGCAACGTGAAAGGAAAGTGACATGTCGGTGGCAGGCATCATAAACTTACGAGACGCTGGAAGGGGAGCTTGCGGATCAGAAGCTCAGTGGACTTCTGGTAGCGACGAATCTCACGGAGAGCGACGGTACCGGGCTTGTAACGGTGGGGCTTCTTGACACCGCCGGTGGAGGGGGCGGACTTGCGGGCAGCCTTGGAAGCGAGCTGCTTACGGGGGGCCTTGCCACCGGTGGACTTGCGGGCGGTCTGCTTAGTGCGGGCCATTGTGATGGTTTATGTGTGTTGATAAGGTGTTTTTTGATGGATGGGCGATGATTAAGTGATGACCTGCGCTGGTGGTCGAGACTGGTTGATGACTAGAAGGAGAGGCGGGAGTGGAAAGGGGAAAAAGTGGTGGGGGGTGCGAGGTTTATGTATGTGCGGACTAGGGTCAGGTGCTGGCTGATTTGGGTGAATGGGTGGTGCGGCGCGTTGTGTGGCTGCTGCCTTTCGGTTTTTTCGCCTTCCTTGCTCATTCCGCTTTTTCCTGGTTGATTTGCAACTCCCATTATTTTTTTGGGTTGCGGGCGACCAAACCGGGGGCTGAACCGGGGTTCGTTTTGCACTGATAACTGCCCTTAGTTTTGCTGGCAAAACAGCGCTGTTTTGGGTGGTTAATTGGAGCGTGCTCTGCTGACGCGGGTTTGCAGAATTATGATTGGTCCAAATATCTTAAATAGCGACGCACAGGCCACCTCAAAGCTGGGGTTAGTAGTAACACCGAGCGACTAACGCATTCGTAGTTCGGCACTCCAGCCGTCTAATTCACTGCGTGCAACATTGCCCGTCTGTGGAATGGGTGAATGGACACAAGACCAAATCAAAGGTACAAAGGTACAAACCCAACATTCACCCATAGGGCTGGGAAGGTGAATGCTCCTGAAGGTTAAAGATTTGCATGCCTGGCACCAGGTCCAGCCCAATTCCTCCGTTGTGCAAGGAATCACATACAAGGCCATAGATGCCATTACGTACAGGGAGCATACCTATAGGAGGTTGAAGCTTGAGCGAGGATTGTGAAGATGGAAGGACTGCCTCATACGACAGAGCGCTTGCTAGAATAGCCCGAAGAGTTGCTTTCTTTGTTCACTGTTTCGGTCTGAATTTATTTAGTACAGGTGCCCGTTTTGCTCCTCAAAGTCTCTGGACCAACTGGAACACTCGAGATCGTAAGTTCAACGCTTGCTCTATGTACAGTCACAGCTACCATTCAGTCACGAAACGCCCGCATGTAGATGTCTCACAGCTCTAGCTTCTTTATGGGGAGTCTGTCCATTGCTGTAGCGAACAGTACTTTCCACTACAGTCTCTTCGCGACAGTCATCGTGACAGTCACTTATCACGGAGGACGAGAGGCAGCCATAGCAGTCCAGATCTACAGAATGCCACACACACATTTCTCTTTGTTTCAGAGTGTACTCTGACGTGGAAGGTTCAACGCCACAATTCATCAAGAGCATGCCTCGTCCAGGACTGGAACCCTTCCGTCAACCCTTTTCGAATGACTAAGAAGACTACTAGGGTTTGTAGAGTTGCCACTCTCAGGTCCCGGATGGGTCTTTCCGCTAAAAGGACGACAAGGCTGATGGGACCGACCGACTGATGCACATGGTACGGTATCCAGAAGGGAGAATAGATGTTCACTGCGGGTCACCTCTCTGTGGTGAAGGTGGTGTGTCAGGATAACAAAGTAGAACTCGCTGGTGACTGGGCTGTGACACTGACGTGAAACTGCTGCCCAGCGAGTGCCAGAGTGTTGCTGCCCTGCCACTTCACCAGTTTTGGATGCGGTCCCCCGGATCTCTGGATGTGCCACCCGAACGGTACGTACCGATGGTCAATCCCTGTGCTGCTCCGGCGAAAATAGACGACCCTTGTTTAGCAGCTGAGAGCAAAAGTCCTGTTTGGGTTTAGCGACTTGTTATTAGTGTTCACCTTGATGCGCGAGGTGAACCACTCTGAAAATGTAAAGCGTGGAGAAATGTTCATTGGCTGATATTGATTCGAGGTGGGACTGCACGTCTTCAAGCTGCGTGTTGTGTCGTCCGTTCCCCTGCAAGGAACGTGCGCCTCGGAACCGCGTCTCCCAAAATCAGCCAAGGGAGTTGACGGAGTTTGCGCAAAGTGGAGCTCCAGAGCCTTTGTTGAACCAATCATCAACAAGATCAGTGATCTGATTTGATTCCCACCGCCCTGCATGCCGCAACCGCGTTCCCGTACTTAAAGTCCGCTCTCTTCCCCGCCTTCTTCCCACCTTCCACGACTTCCAATCTCCCAAACGACCGGCTTCAGCCTTACCACCTACACCACTTTCACTTTCACCCCCCCCAACACACATCAAAATGACTGGACGTAAGTTGTCTTTGAAGATCGCCAACACCGTGTGTTGTAACATCATGACTGACCAGTATCTCTTCATCAGGCGGCAAGGGCGGCAAGGGCCTCGGAAAGGGCGGTGCCAAGCGCCATCGCAAGATTCTTCGTGACAACATCCAGGGTATCACCAAGCCCGCTATCCGCCGTCTCGCTCGTCGTGGTGGTGTCAAGCGTATCTCTGCCAGTACGTTATGATCTTCGAGCAATCCCTGTATTCCATGGATGGTCAACTAACATGTCAACCTTTAACAGTGATCTACGAGGAGACCCGTGGTGTCCTCAAGACCTTCCTCGAGGGTGTCATCCGTGATGCCGTCACCTACACCGAGCACGCCAAGCGCAAGACCGTCACCTCCCTTGACGTTGTCTACGCCCTCAAGCGCCAGGGCCGTACCCTCTACGGTTTCGGTGGTTAAATGTCTCGCCGTCATTAGCCAGCGTGTCTTTTTTCTTTTTTCTTCACCATAACGACGACGCAAATCACAATCACGTCTTCTCCCATCACCAACACAGAATCATCATGATGTTTATATACCACCAAAGTCGTCGTCTTTTATCATGATGACGATGATGTCACTACCGCCACCACCACCACATTAAACAACCGGCAACAACACGACATCCAGGATGGGGGAAAAGGAGGGCGGTTGATGTTCGGTCCCCTTTTGCACCACACTTTACTTGGTTGCAGCGTTCCATCTCACGATTGTCATTTTTCGGGTTTCATCACGCGCAAAGGAGGGGTCTCTTTTTTTATCACATGCTCTGTACATCACATCAAGGGGTCATTCACAATAGGGGTGTTACTACTTTTGCAACTTTTTTGAGCGCTTAATTGACTCAAAACGCCCTCTGGGTTTTCTGGAGGGTGATTCCAATCTGTTTGATGATCCTCTTTGTGTCGAGTGGAAATGCTGTCTGCCATTTATTGCTGTGTCTTGCCGCGTGTTTTTTTGTGTACGTGTAAACGGAATCGCGTGCCAATCGCGTCCGGTGGGCTTGCCCCAGTTTTGCTTGAAACCTTGGCCGTTGGGCGGGCTGGGGTCTCTGGTTCAACTGTTCGCTCGAAGAAGGGACCCATGCGTTGATGCGCCAGCGAACATGCGGTTCGCGGAGAGGACAGATATGTAGTGTGACCGAAACTCCTGTCCGTGTTTTCAGTATTCGCATCTTGACAATCCCAAAGCAGTTTATATGTATGTGCTTCACAGACCGAAAATTTCTCAAGCCCATTGCATCTATCGTACATAAGTATAATTTGTGTACCTACGGACGTCCGACATATGTACATCTATATACTAGTCAAGCTCAAATATGGAGACAGAAGTTGATGATAATACGATCTACCTCCATCCAGCTCTATCCCGTTCTGTTCCAGGAACGTCATGGAAGAACATGATCTACATCCAAGGTGGCAGCCAACCACCTGCACACACCCCCTCCCCAGCTGATCCTAAGCAGTGGCGAACTTTGCTCCTTAAAATGTGCCTAACAGGGGAACACTGGTGGGAGAACCCCGATCAAAAAGATGGGGGAAAGGGAAGGGGGGGGATGATGAGTCTGAGCGTAAAACAGATCGGATTTCATTCTTCGTCTGAACTTGTGGATACACCCGAAGCACCTTACCAGTATGATGTAACCCTGTCGAGTCTTTTGTCAGTACTTGTGATACATGTTGCTTCAGCTCTGCTTGGAAATTACAACTAGCTGGGTGACTTTTTCTTTTTTTTCTTCTTTTTTTTTTGAAGGGGGGGGGGGGGGGGGGG